CTTCCAAGCTCTCTCCCCAGCGCCCAGCCCCCTCCCCGCAGGCAGGCCACCACCCCAGACCCTGACTGTCCCTACCTCCTCCCATCCCTCTCGAGCCCCCTCGTCACCGGCAGGCACACGTCCTGAGACAACAGACCAGCAGAGCCAGGAGACTCAGGAGCACTGCGGCCCCGTAGAGAATGAGGCAGATCCCGGAGTCGGGGGGACCCTTGGCAGAGACCAAGGCCTCATTCTCTTTTCTGAGGAGGAGACGGGGACACCTCAGGAGGCTGCCAGGTCTGGCTGCACTGGTGCTGGGCTCGAAGCCCCTCAAAATCTCTTCTCCTTCCTCACCAGGTCACTGGGCAGGGGAGTGGCTGGGTGCCCCCCAGAGTTGGGTGACTGGAGGGACAAGGCTGGGCTCCAACTTTGTCCCCAGGGCAATGGGAATTTTCAGAGCCAAAGGGGATCCTAGGTCTTGGGGTTCGTAGGAGGAAGGGGCGTGGCCTGGGGTGGGTGGGTGTCCTGACCTTAGTTTCTCCAGCTCCGTGTATACTTCCTGCAGATCCGTGGATTTCTTCTCCAGATCCGCGGATTTCCCCTCCAGCTCCGAGGATTTATTTTGCAGCCACTGATTCAATGTCTTGATCTCCTCTAAGGAGGGACAGAGAGTGAGTCCGCACCTTGGCCACGCCCCTCAACTGGCCCCACCCTCGGACAGGACCCGCCTCCATTGAGCGAGTGCACCTTGGAAGTCTGGCTTGCCAGTCCCTTCCTACTTCCTCTGGCTTTGGTCCTGTCCCTCGTGCCTGACCCCAAACCAGAGCCCCTCCCCCTCCCTCCTCTTCAATACCTGACCGGCTCCTGCAAACTCCCTGACTGCAACGGGGCCTGTGCTTTCCTCACCTTGAAGCTTCTGCACCAGCTCCTGTTGCCTGAGGCCCACAGCCTTCTCCTCTTTCAGGGAAATCTTCAGGGTCTCCTGGGATGCCCGGGAAGAGTAAGGGTGTTGCAAACTGGGGTTCTTGTCCCTGGTGGGCTTGGCTGCTGTCCCTGGGCCCTGACCCCCTCTCCAGGTCCTGGAGTCAGAGAGGCTCAGGCCCAAACCCTTTTCAGAATTCCTTCTAACGCTCTCTGAACCTGTCTCCACCCTGAAGAATAGCTATAGCCTCCTACCCACCCAGGATGTGATCCACTAAATAGGAGTTTCAAGTCCACCCTCCCTAGGAATTTGGGGGCTCTCTTGGACCAAAGCCTAGGAGAAATGTCCAGATCCCCTGGGTTATTGTCCAAGAAGAGTTAGACGTCCCCTCAAACCCAGAACACAGTGGGATTTCTCAACCCAATTTAGATGTCCAGTGGGAGTTTCAAGGACCCCCATATCAAGACCTCAGTTAAAATGCTGCCTCTTGCCAAAACCGGTTTGGCTCAGTGGATAGAGCATCGGCCTGCGGACTGAAAGGTCCCAGGTTCGATTCTGGTCAAGGGCATGGACCTGGGTTGCGGGCACATCCCCAGTGGTGGATGTGCAGGAGGCAGCTGATCGATGTTTCTCTCTCATCGATGTTTCTAACTCTCTCTATCTCTC